AATAGAAATAACTAAAATAATCATTTTTCCTACATTGCTAAAATAATGCATGCTAGTAATTTAGCATAATGTAAGGACTAAAAAAAAACCTTAAAAATTAAAAGTACCATATTAATATATATTATATACACAGGATATGTTCAAGCGCATGCACGCACGTGCAAATATGCCACAACACATGTGTGGAGGTCAGAGAACAACTTGTGGAAGTCAGTTTTCTCCTTTCACTGTATTGGTCCAGGAGAGTAAACGCAGGTTGTCAGGCTTGGTGAAAAGTGCCTTAACCCACTGAGCCACCTTGTCAGTCCAGACCATTCTTTTTTTAAGCAAGCTTTTGTAATAAGAGGCAAACATGTCTTATAAATTCAATTTTTTCAACGCTATTTTAGAGTTTAAGGAAAGGTATACCAAAAAAGAAGAAAGACATTAATTAATATTATAAATTATAATAAAAATAGCTTAACCTTTTTCTTAAATCTCCAAGCTTTAAAAAATAGCTCCATTCCTAAACAAATACTGTTACATATAAACCTGTGTCCTTGCCAGTGCCCACAGCACTCAGTAACCTATTTTACTTGGGAACTTTTAGTTAGGAAGATGCCAGGACAAGAAATGGCTCTCCTCTATCGTTTCATTTTGGCTTTCTCATATTCACACCCTAGAGGTTCCAGATTCTTCTCCACAAAATGATTATGGTCTAGGACTAACTCAGATCTGTAACAAATGTCCACTGGGATCCTTCGACCTATCATTGATGAGATGAGCAGAGCCAATATATGTCTTCTAGCTCGTGCATCCTTTCACCTCACCTCAGGGATTTTCCACAGTGCTGTATGGTGAGAAACTTCCTTTCACAAATAACAAAAAGAAATGAAAAATGACTTCAGAATAGAAAAATGGAAACTCAAGTCATTACACAATGTGTAACATCTACCCTATATCTACCACTTTAGTGCACAAACACTGCCCTATGTATCCACTAAGGTGTATCTTTGAGGTCTTCGGTCTCATTACCTCTAATTTTATCGATTACTGACATGCACTGATTATATCAGTGATTATACATGATTATATTAGCACTCCAACATATCTCCAGCCAACCAAAAAGCATAAAACTTGTAAAAGTAGTCTACAATCATCTCAAAACCATCATAACTTGTTTACCTGATTTTCCATAAAAGGTAAGGTATAACACTAATAAAATGAGTATGCTTTCTTTTGAATATTGTCATATCACAATGTAACTCTGATGGCAGCCGTGCAATTGTTTTAAATAAAACAGACTGCTACTCTCTTTTCCTAAACAGTAACAGCATGGCATTTTCTCCTTTGTTGCTCTTGGTCTCAAATGTATTTTTCTTCTAAAAAATAAAAATAAAAGGACTTTCTGAAGAGAATGAAAGAAAAAAAACTGCAAAGTACAATATTTTATTGTTACAAGCTATACAAAAATCTGTCACTGTGTTACAATTCTAGTCATCAATAAGGTACTTTTCTTCAACATACCATTCAAAAATCAATTATATCAACTCATTTGTATAGAGAAGCAGTGCACCTTTCAGGCAACTAGTATTAATGAGTAGACATGACTATAGAATCTCCATCTGTTTCTCTGACAAAGCTGTGGCTACTCTAGTCTCTCATTGAAATTCCATTAATCTGGTGTACTAAGGTCCAATGCGAAAATCAAAACTCCATCTAACCCTTTATCAGCTCACAATAACCTACAAGTGAACTCTGCCTGTTAGCATGCAGCAAGTTATGATTTTGCTATCAATCAGGCAGCTGGCCAATAAAAAAAAAAACCAGGCAGGCTGGAAACAGCATGTCTGGCAGGGTTCGAAGATTTTGTTTTTTGTTTTTGTTTCTGTTGTCATCCCCACTCAGTTTCTACAGGCGTCTGGACTTTGTGAGATTATGCATTATTCTCCTTGGCTGTGATTTAATTGCTACCAGCAATCAAGTGGAAGCATCACTGAAGTGTGCTTGAATTTCATTAGAAGATATAACTTATGCTACTTTCCTACAGTACCTAATAAACCATAAAGAAACCAAAACACATATGGCTTGAGGGAATAACTGGAAAATTAGGTGGCCATTTGGGAACTGAGTGAACTTTTGAACCAGAGGAAGAGAGAAAAAGAAATATTAAGGGGAAAGGCAGACTTAGAATGCAGATAGAGATGAGCAAGTTTGACCTTTTCAGTACCTTGAAAATTACATTAACACTATGAAAAATACATATCATGTTTAGAGTTTATAATCCATCAAAGTTCAGATACTTTATTAGTGCCTACCATAAGGTAAAAGTTAAAAGCACAAAACAACAATCTGAGTCAACAAAAGGTCATTAGGTGATCTATACTAAACTGGCTATAGTCATTAAACGCTTTTTTATAATTAATACACTATTACATCGATAATGATAAAGGAAATTTTGTTCAGCAAATCAAAAAGAACTCAGACAAACAAGTTGCAGAGAGCAAAACATAAGAGATGGTATGTTAGAGTCAAAGTTCCAAGTCCAGTGATAGTCTGAAAGTACCTAGACTCTTCTAAGAAAATGTAAAACTAAAATGGATGGAACCGGAAATCATGTTATGTAAAATATGTCAAATTAAGAAAGACAACTACATGCTTTCTCTCAGGTGCAAACCCTAGATTTGTGTGTGTGTGCATGTGTGTGTGTGCGTGTGTGTGTGTGTGTGTGTGTGTGTGTGTATGTGTACGCGCGCACATGCAATGAAAAGTAGAAAGAAGCCCAGGAAAGGGAAAGAAGAAATCTTAAGAAAAGGAATAACTAAAAAAGAAGGTAAGAGAATAAATGGACCAAAAGCAAACAGGGTGATTTGGGCAATGGAGATAGGGCGGTGGGAGAGGGTTAGGGAAGGGGATGAAAAAAAGCAAAGTGTGCGTGAAGATACCGTAATGAAATCTACTACAATCTATGCAAACTTTAAAAACTAACACGATAATAATGCATAAAAAGAAAATGTAAAACTGTTTAAAAATCTATTATGTATAAAAATGCAAAATCTGCTTAAGAATTTCTTAAGCACTAATAAACACACACCAATATTTAACAAAAGCTGGTGTTTCACATAAACAGTATTTAAACGCTGATAATCTTTTAACATCAAATCATTTTCATATCCTGCATATTTAGTTTTGGAAAAATACATAAAAAGCTATTCTTTTAATTTTTATTATTTATTTGGGGGGGGTGCATGTACCACAGCTCATGTGAGGAAGTTAGAGAGCAACTTTCAGGAATCAGTTCTCCCTATTATGTAGGTCCCAAAGGTTGAACTCGGTTCATCAGGTTTGGTCACCTGCTGAGTCATCTCCCCAATCCCTAAAATCATTTATTCTTAAGAAAAAAGATACAATAATCATATAAGCATTCTATAATTGAATAACATTCACTCTTTCTAAAACATGACTAGATCTCTGACTTTCACAGATATTTAACTGTTGAATTATTTTAAAGTTGCAATCTTTTTAAGAGTTGAACTTAAGGGCCCCTGTACATCAAAATATTTTTTGAACTTGGTATATCTATTTTATGAATACAGTCAACATGTGTTTAATCTCTTCAGTATAAATATTCTGCCTCTGTATGTGAATATATACATATATACTCACATCTATCCAACATTTTACAGAGAAGCAAAATGATAATTGAAAGGGGTCTGAAAAGTAGTACAACTTAAATAATAATTTATTATTTCATGAAAACATTATTTCATCAATTATAAAACACCTATCAAAAATGCTTTTGCAAATAAAGGTTAAAAAGCGTAGTGTTTGATGCTGGAAAGCAAGTGATGATGAAGACAAATGTGCATCTTTGTAAAAGACAGAAAGAAGATATAAGAGAAAAATTCCTCCCTTTAAAAGTGGAAACTAAATGTGCAAGTCAACACAAAATGGACATATTATTGCTACACGCTGAACAAAGTTCTGGATATAAGAAAGACTGTTTGGTTGTGAATAAGTGATTAGAATGCTTCTCACTGCATGTATAAGAAAGGCTGGTTCTGAATCAGTGTTTAGAATGTCTATCACTATGCATGTACTTGACTTATCCCTGTTCTGCAATAGACATAATTTTATACCTCATAAAAGCAATTTATGTTTCCAAAGGGAATAATCTGGAAAACATAAAATGTGGAGTGCTCTGTTGAAGGAAGTGTATTTTCATTCAGCAATTGTATTTAGAGATGGAACTGCACAGTTTGATCATCATATAGTGGCAAAAGGCACTCTTCATTTCTATGTCTATGTGAAATGCCACAATATGCATGGCTAATTTATCGATTCACATAGTTAATTTATAACTATATATCACACTTACAAGGTTTCTAGAGCACAGATTCACTCAATTAGCTGTCACAGACAAAGCACAAGCTGATGCTAAACACAAGTTTTATAACTGGCAACATTCCACAGATTTTAGAGTCACTAAGATGTAAACAATCAACTCTATTACTACATCAATTAATATAAAACACTGTAATATTATTGCACAACATAGGGCAATTTTAAGTGACAATCAGAAAAATGAAAATATATAGTAAAAATAGCATTTGATTAAAAAAACCTGTCTCGATGTGACAAGGCAATGTAGAAATAATTAAATATTTTATGAACTCAATTTGTATGACATTTTAAGAAAATATGTATCAAAAATATTTTTCATAACACAAAATACAGAAATCATTAAGAAGTATAATGAAATTAAGAATCTGATAATATTAATCAACAGTTACTACAATATTCCCATAATGACACCACCACTTTCCTAAAAATTTACACGTAGGAAACCTCCCTAGGACCACTAGAGAGAGCTCTTCTGTTCCTTAAAGGTTCTGGTAAAGAAAGGTGAGGCACAACAAGCCTGTTCCTTCTGCTTTCTGATAAAACCACTCCTTCTACACATAGGACTACTCTGTATCGAAAGCATCAAGAGGTATAGTCTATGAAGGAACATCACATACCATCAGAGGGGGCATCGTCATCTTTATCATTGCGATCAGAGGCTAATGAAACAGTATCTGGAGGCCCAACAAAAGGATCGTCGTACTCTTCCCCCTCCTCAGTATCACCTGAAAATGAATCGAAGAAATGCCTTTAATGGTTTAGCCATTTAAAACAATGTTGCTTAGTCAGAAAAGGTAAGTTTACCATTAAATATAGTCACTGTCACAGAAAGAAAAAAAATTTTTTTCAAAATAGGCAAAAGCAGATCTTATTTTACGTTACACCCATCATAATAAACAGTAAACGTCTTTAAAGGTCAGCAGATAGCACTCAGTTGTGACCTAAAAGGATCCAGTCCCAAAATTACGACAGCTTCTATAAAGAGCTTAAAAAACAGAAACAGGATTAAACAGAGTATGGATCCAAGAAAAACAAACTAACAATAACCCAAAAAAATGGAAAACATAATAGAAAGTAATTCAAGTAATTCCCTTTGCCTACTCAATAATTTAAAAATTATACTAACAAATTGACTATGTAAAGCCATAGGAACACTCTATTTTCATTAAAAGTCACAAGATTCTATCAGATTAAAATGAGTTATATTCTATTTTCTTGCTTGTTTGTTTGAAGACAGGATCTCCCTGTAGCCCCAGCTGGCCTGGAACTTGCTATGTAAACCAAGCTGACATCCATCTCACAGAGATCCACCTGTCTCTGCCTCACAAAAGCGGAGACTAAAGGTGTGCTCCACCACACCCAGCTAAAAATAGTTACACTCTAAATTCAAACACTTTCCATTCTCATGCAGAGATATGTTAACCATTATTGCATGTTGTGGCCAGTTTCCTGCTTGATTTCCAAATCCTAGGCTCGTATGTTAGGGTTTTGCTTACTTGTTTATTAGGTATTAGTCCCCATAAGGTTTTGCCCCATATACTGAAACTACTTTTTAAAAACACTGAATCAATTATATGTTAGCTTAGTTATATATACTCTTTTTTTATATGAATTGATCAACACAGAAAACAATGTATGCTAAATGCTATACCTTTCTAACTTTTCAAAAATAATTTACTTATTATTTTTATTTTTTGTGTATGAGTGTATTGCCTACATGCATGTAAGTGCACGTATGTCATGCACTACCTGCAAAGGTCAGAGAGGGCGTTGGATTATTCTGGAGTTATGGACAGCTGTTAACTGATATGTGGGTGCTGGGAATCAAACCCAGGTCCTCTGCAAGAGGAGCCAGTGCTCTTAACCACTGAGCCATCTCTCTCCAGCCCCTATCTCTTTGTTTTTGAAAATGTTTACTCTTTGATGTATCCATTGTATGTTATAATGTATATGTATGCATGTATACATACACGTGGACTCACATACCAATCTATCTATACATATATAGATATGTTATATACACATATATAGAAAAGATTATTAAAACCACAACATCAATGACATTTAAGAAAATTTATTCTATACAAATTTGCCATTAACTTGTTGAAGACTTCTGTGGGGTTTTGTTTTTTTTTTTTTTTCTTTTTGGAAAACACACTTTTCAGATTATATCTTAAAGTGAAAATGTCTTCAATATACCCAGTATAAGAATTATGTTTATTGAAAGTATTTTTTTTTAATCAGTGTGGTATTTGTATTCATCTAAGACAAAATAAATACTGCTAACTGGGCTGTTTCCCTCCCCCACATCACCTCTTGCCACCACCCTCAGCTTCCCTGAAATCACTTAGACTGTACAGAATCTATACAGTATGTGCGCAGGGATCATTCCTTTTTAGCAACTACATTAAGTTAAAGAACAGTGCTTTTCAGTGTGGTTTTGTTCCTCAGATGATCCATGCCTTTACTCTGTCTTGGCTTTGTTTGCCAATCCAATAAAAAGGCTGCTATCTTTTAGGGGGCTTTAATTGAGCACAGGGGTCGCTGTTGAGCAGCACACAGCATCTTTCCTCCCCAGAGGCTAAGTATTTGTAGCTATACCTGCAAAGGCTTCTATAAATTAAAAGGAAAATGTTCAATGTGTGTTTATGTAATAAAATAGTGAACTCCAAATCAACAATGGGCATCAGGTAAACGTATCCAATGCCATTTACAGACATAATTGAAAGCATTACAAAGTAATCAGACATCTAAAAGAAAAGCATGTTCAAATGAAATGCTATCGAATCATTAGTTGGCAGTCATTCTATTACAGTCTCACATAATGTCCGCAGTGCCTTGAGCCTGTGCCAGTGACAACAGCATAAATTTTGCATCTCATTTCTGTGGTCATAAAATTAATGATCAGTTTAAAAATACTTCTTTGTAAAAGTTATTGCGCAAAGAAAAGACATGAATGTGTCCCTGTTATGTGCTCACAAGGATAATTATGGGGTTGTTGCTCATTAATACTGTTTCTTGTTTCCCTAGAAAAGCATTTGATTTATCCCACAACTTTCAAAAGTTTAATTAACAATACAAAGTTAACCATCGAAAAGACAATGATCCAAGGCATTTCACTGGAAACATCACAGAAGCACCAAGGTTTAGTTGGACCACAGCAGCATATTTCCCTGACAGCTACTTTTAAACATGTAAGAGCTGCTTCACATCACTGCTAGTCATTCTTTTTGATTCAGTTTATAATTAATGAACATTTTTATGTATGCCTAGAGATGCAGTCTAAGAGCAGCTAGCAGTCATGATCTTTACTGAAGGCATTTGGCGCAATGTACCACTTATTTAGTCAAATACAATCCTATTTCAAACACAATCAGATAAATAGCCAAATATACATAAAATTTAGAACACATTTTATACACATATTGAAATATCACTTGTACTCCATAAACGATAACTAAAATGTAGTTTAGATTATACCATTTCCTCATATAGAGTATCAAAGACAAAATTTGGAGAGATTTCTCCAAGTGAAAACAATTTAACTTCTAATTCTCTAATCAGCTAATCTGTCCAATCTAATATACAGCCAAATATATAAAATTATAAATTTACATCATAAATTCTTAAAGAAAGTTTAATTCTTACAGTAATGAATGATAAAAGTTACTAAAAATAAGATTCTTCTATAAAAAGGAAGGCTAATTTTTAGCCAACAAATAGCAAAAGCAACTTCTCACACCAAACTGAGGCAGAGCTTGAAAACAAGGCCACAACGACTTTGGAAATAGACTGCTATCATTCCAGCCCCATCACCTCAAGCATGGGGTGGAGAGGCAGTGAAATGAAAACTCTGAGTTTAATTTGCTTGGATTTCACTATGGAGCTAACTTGCAATTGAGAATATACTATATTAGGAAGGGTAAAGGAAAGGAAATTAAACTGAAAGACAACTTTTCTGTTTTTCTGAGGATTCCACTAGGACAAACAAAAACGTATCCTTCTTACCCACCAGTTTTGCTGTTTTTAAAAAGCAGTCCATTAATAAAGTTAAATAATACAAATGAGGGCAAGGAAATGGCTTTCTAAATAAATCTATGCATATTTAACAATATTAATGTAGTCTTAAGGGCAAAATCTAATACATTTTTTCACAATTAGAGTGAAAAGAGATTCCAAAGGAGAAAATGAGACATTACAGCTACAGCATCTAAAGCACAATCACACTGCTTTTAAACTGTAGACAGTGGCCAGGGGTGTGGCTCTGTGGTTAAACCACATGCCTAGCATGCCCAGCCAAGGGGAGGGGAGGGAAGGAAGGAAGAAAAAATCTGTGGGCACCAATAATTTACAAATTTGAAAACCATTCTCTTAAAATATTTTTCCAATTTAGTATATATTTCTGTTAATAATTTGTAATTTCCTTAAAAATGTCTTTGAAAACTAAATTTCTGAATCAAAATTAACTTCAATCTTCTTGACGAATAAAGTTACACTGGGGAATATGCATTGGATAGCACTTATGAACATCTATGTGTCATGAATGGGGATTTTCACACAGTGATGTACTCTCATGGAAAAAATAAGTATTTCAAGTCACATTTAAGAGACCTTGTTATATAACAGAGAACAACTAAAAAATAATTATGTGATGGGTGAAGTGATATACACCTGTAATCCCAGCTCTGGGAGGCAGAAGCAGGGGTATTGTGAGCTAGAGGTCATCTTGAGCTATACAAAGGGAAGCTCTGTCTTAAACTTTTTAAAAAAATCATACAGCATAATTCTAGCATGTAGAGCCATGGAGTCTATATTTAGGAGGGTACTTGACAGTATTCAAATATATTACAACTAGGAAACTTGGGTTAGATAGTTAATTCTGTCTTGCCCAATAGCATGGAGGTTATAAGAAGGAACTTTCTAGTCCAGATAAAACAGGCAATATTTCAAATGAATAATGTGCTCTGTGTTTGAGTGTATTCAAATATTTTTAAAATAAAAAATTAAGAATTTAGAAAAACAATTGATAATTATTCTGAAGTTCCAACTTGACAGACCTTTCCAATAGAGAATCTACATTTGATCATATAAGAACCATAATAAATTAGATGAATGGGAAGGGAAGTTTAAACACAACACTGTTCTTTTGAAATGAAAATAAACAGGAGAAAATTTAGTGGCTAGGCCTTGACATTTAGGAGTCATTGCTTAAAAAAAAGAAAGAAGCATTTAGCAATAAAACTATTCTCACAAAAAGTACGAAAAAAAAAAAAAAAGTCCACTAAGATCTATACAACTTAGAGTTGCAAGAGCACAGCAATTCAACTAATTTTAAGAACTGAAATACCTCAGCCTGTAAACTCTGCTTTGTTGAATCTCAGGATGGGAGATTTTCTACAGTGTAAGAGATGGAATTGGGAGGCAAATTAAGAAGGATATCAGTATCTGTAAACAGTACATAACTTTATAACTGACTTATAAATAAAACTTAAGAATAAGTCTTGATTAACTCATTTTATTTAAGATGTCTACCTGGACTTTCCCCGCCACACACACAATAGTGTTGTTAAAATTATTTAACTGTCACTAAAATAATAAAGTATATACAACAAGAGTACAAAGGTAAAATCAGTTTCTGTTTCTTCATTGTGACCTTATACTGAACAGACAAAGAGAGGAGGGAGGGAGGGAGGGAGAGAGAGAGAGAAAGAGGAGAGATAGGGAGGGAGGGAGGGAGGGAGGGAAGGAGGATGGGAGGCTAGGAGGGAGGGAGGGCCAGAACACACAAGAAAATGGCAAAAATTCCTAAGGGAAAATGTAATTGGGAACAGTACCATCAAAACAACCTAGATCTGAATTCATTCAATGCAGAGATCTTTTTAAAAAGATGCATCCGGGGTAATTACTTTACAACTATTAAGTCTATGCTCTTTCCTATTCCTAATAAGCTACAAAAATAGTCTTTTTGGAACAAAGCTGAATATACTTTGAGATTAGAATGGCATAAAATTATTCAGTTTCTCATATTTCTCCAAGGTATACATCCAATTTATCTACAGTCTTACCTTCAAAGCAGACACTCTTGGTGATTAGTTAACTCAATACAGCCATATTGAACTGCAAATGACTTATTCAGAGGAAAATGATTATGGGAAAATCTCTGAATTCCACATTATTTGAACTCTTATTCTAGGTTCATTTTTTCAATTTCTATCAAATACTATATAAACTTCCATTCTCTTTGGAGACAAAAATGTATCTCTGTAATATAATTTTAATATCCACACACCTGAACTAGCTCTAAAACAGAATTCCAAAGGGAAGGTCCCAAACTATTATGGAAATATGAAATTACACAATGGCTTCACATTATCATGCCTTCTTAGCTTCAAAATTTTTAATGTACAAATAATTAAGCCACAATGAGAGTTCAATAATCACTGCAACAAAATATGCCTTTCAAGAAGAAGCAAAATCTGATATGTAACATTTCTCCATAAATAGTACATTATATTAAAATTTATCATAATTGAAATGCATAAATTCATTTCTATATTCACCTAATTAATATGCAACAAGATTAGACCCTTATAATTCCTTGTAGGGCACAAAACAGTAAGTACTGGGAGGGAGGAGACATTTTGCTTCTCTTATCTTTAATAGTATTTTAAAAAAATCTTAATATGGAAAAAAAAAAATCTCCTCTCATCCCCTTCAATCACACTGATTCTGACAAGTGAATGTGAAAAGAAACTATGACTTCCTTCAAGCTGATTTTAGGTTTGTCTGGGTGAATACTTGGCTTATTGAACTGTGATTAGCCTCTCTCTTACCAGTTGTCACAAACAGAAGGACTACTGGGACCCAGTTAAAAGGGCCACACTGTTTTCTTTCCCAGACTTAGAAACAAGCTCCACAGATCCATGGACCTCATGTTATAAATCTCATATCGGCATCCCCAAGCTAAAAGTCATGACCTATGAATTATCATCATGGAAATAAAGGCCATACACTGTTCCTCTTACAGAAAGGAAGACATGAAATACTTGGAACTTCCAAAGCCTCACTTGGTCTGTTTTTCACTATGCTAAGCAGTGGTGTCTCAGATCTAAAGACCATCGCTTTATCAGCACCATAACATATTTCAAAACAATGAAACCAAATTCCCATCCCTAAAATTTCTAAAGTATACATTTATTCACATCAAAAGAACCAAAAGAAAAAAAACTTAGCACGTGATTTTTGAGAACATGTTATTCATGCTTTTGGCATTGTTTTTATAGCATCCTTCAGAAATATGACTGAAGTACTACGGATATAGTTCAGTGGTAAGCACCTTGTCTAGCATATGTTTAAAAGTACTGTGTTCCATCTCCAGTACCACAAAAACAAAGATGTGAACCATGAACACCCAACCAAGATTCACCTGCCCCCTCCCCCTCACACCATAAAAGAATCTCCGCAGTGCTAAAACAGCACTGGGTGATAGTTCTGCTTCGTCGAAGTAGTTCATATGTAACTGCAAGAACATACCTGTCCTTACAAATTCCTACCACTAAGACAACTGTATTCTAAGAAACACAAACCTAGACAATCAAGCATATCTGATTGATTTCTTCATCAGAAGCCCGCAGGGTAGATCCTGGATATGCTTTTTAATTTTTTTCTCAGCAGGGGGAGCTAGCACTCTCATCTTGAAGGTATAAATATATAGTATGGAAATTGAAATTTTGATTCCAACTATAAAATTTCAGAATTATCAGAAATTTAGATTATCCTATTGAAAATCTCTACAAAAGAAAATTCCTTCAAGTTTGAAATTTACCTTTATCTTGAAATTCCTGAAGATAGCTGCAAAATAAAATAAAAATTTTTCAAGCACTTGAAAAATCAAGACAAGGTCTAATTAGTGGCAATAATTCAAATCTAAAATCTGTATTATAAATATACATCTAGAGAAAAAAACATTTTCTGTCCTGAAATGACAATTTTAAAAGGCTTCAGAGCTTATAATCAATGTATTTTTAAGATGTAAGTACAACAGTAAAGTGAGCACACATCTTTAATATCTGTAACATATTACATTTATTCACTTAATGCAGTAACAATTTAAAGATTTTCTTTTTTCAAGGTCTAAGGTATTCTCCATATTGATATTAAAATTCTCAAATATGCCCTCAGAAAATCAAAATAAACTCTTAGATTTTGCTAGAATACTTAGAAAAATACATAATTAAGAACTGTCAACAAAAAAGGCTATTATATTTTTACTTAAAAACTAGTATAGTGGAAATATAGCCCTTTAAAAATGCTTAACATTAATAAATTAGAACATAAAATTTTAACTCCATAATAAA